TTTTGCCACGCCCACTCGGTGCCCACTGGGCGAGTATATAAACGCTCAACTTGTAGATTGTACTTTAGTTTATAATCATCTGCTGATGATGCTAACATGGTTAGCGAAACGCGCGTCCAGTGTAAAAGTAAAAGTGTTTTGGTGTATTGTGGTGATTTAGTGTTTTTATTTTGCTATTAAAAACTTTGATACCCTTGGAGAAATGAAGCCTTAATTTTTTTACTGCAATTTCACAAAATTGAAAATATTTCAAAAACGGTAAGGTTTAAGTGAGATAAACCTTAATCAAATTTACCTTAATCGTAGAATCTAAAAATAGAATAATATACAGGGTGTTTCATTTAAAAAAATGTAACTGTAATATTTTTTACTTATTTGGGACACTATCTATCTTGTAAAATTATTTTTAAATTGTAGCTCTAATAGTCCTTCAACGAACTCAAAACTTACAATTTGTAAAAATCTAATCGTTTAGCTAAAATACTCCGAGTCGTCTGTGGTGAACAACCCTGTATATGAGAAATGTCATCGATCGTTATTTCTCAGCCAACTGGATGCCGTTCGATCATACAGTATTATTGTTAACAAATATACAGAGTTTTCCAGGCATTAAAAGATTTTACAGAACTACAATATCTAGATCGGAGATTTTTTGCACACCATTGTGCATACTTTCTTAGTTTAAACCAGGGTTGGAAAAAATCATGATTTAAAAAAAAAAATCAGATTTTTTCCTGTAGATACACAGATATACAGCAATTTTATTATTCCGTATGCCGAATGAAAATGAATGAATGATGATAAATTAAAAGTAAAAAACACTAACATCGTATCATGTATAAAATTGATTTACACATATTTTAAATAAGACACAGTTGTTTTCATCGACTTTTATTCAGTCATATAAAAAATAAATAACAACTATTTAATAATAATTTACAGAATCACAATAACAGTCAGTTAAAACTCTCTTCAGTGGTGGTAAGCGATAGCTGGTGCGGCGTAAGATACTTTAGTAATTGCGGGAGCCGCAGCATAAGCAGCTGGTTGGGCATAAGCGGCCGGGTGGGCATAAGCGGCCGGGTGGGCATAAGCGGCCGGGTGGGCATAAGCGGCCGGGTGGGCATAAGCTGCCGGCTGGGCATAAGCGGCTGGGTGGGCATAAGCAGCCGGTGCAGCGTAAGCTACCGGAGCAGCTACTTTGGCCACAGCTGGAGCAGCGATAGCTTTTACGGCAAGCGGTTCTTTGTGTACGACAGCGTTGAAACCATTTACTGGATCGGCAGTGTATTCCACGGTCCTTTTGGTGCCTTAAAAAAGAGAAAGATTTTAGACAGTTATAATTTAAATAAGAAATCAGATGCCATTGATTGTTTTTAGTCTAAGAACCAGTGGCAGGCGACCTATATGTAATTTATAAAACCTGAAATGCTGTCCAGTGAGTCTGTCAAACCTGTCAGCCATGAGATGGAGTCTCGCTAAGCCCAGCGAGGTGGACCCTAGCGTTAGAGCGTTTGCACACACACCGGCAAAGCCGGAGCCGTTGCCGGAGCCATCCCCGGCGTCGGCACCGTGTCGGTGATGTCTTTCACACGTTCCGGCAATTATCGGCACCGGTACAGTTTATCAGTAGATATTTTTTTACCGCAAAAGAAAGATGTTTGTTACTACATCAAATAGAAGATATATCTTTGGTTTATTGTACCTTAGGAGGAAATATCAAAAAAGAAAGAATCCCAGACGATTTTGGATACATATCCCTTGTTGACTGTTAGGTACAGCTGGTTCCAAAAAAAATGAATACGACTCTTTACACATTTTTTTAGAATATTTGGGCAGTGTATATTTATGTGTCAAGTATTTTGACATGTTAAGGTTATTGTGACATTGTATAAAACAACTTTGCTTTTGACAAAGTCGCAAATAATTTTTTCAGAACGTCAGTATGACATGAGTAGAGAAATCGGGGACTGGTTATCATAGAATATACTGCCCGAAATAATAAAAATATGTTTTAAAGCGTATTCAATTTTATTGGAACCAGCTGTACATAGAAGGCAATTTTTATACTCTTTTTGAAAAATTTACCAAGGACAACAATCAATTTTTTAACTATTTTCGTATGAGTATATCATTTATGTTTTTTTTTATTTTTTTTTATTATAGTACGGTAGATTTATACTGGTACGGACGAAAAGTTATAACTCTTCAAAACAGTTAAACCTTTGAATAAGAAGACTAAGGAAGGAGCATATCAAAAGGTACTTAGGTACACCGCGATGGGCCTCAAATATGGCCGACTTAAATTCCGGTTTATCAGTGTCGTTCTAATTTTATTTAAAAAATGTAAAACTATGATGTAGACGTGGTGTAGACTCAATAATTTGTTGTTTTATTTTACGTTGTGAATAAATGTTGGTAATTATTAAAATTGTTATAAAAATATATAATTCTAATAATAATAGATAAGTTATAAGTATTTATTAACACAAACATCCCATACGCTACTGAAGCAGGTAAGTCAAATTAACGTATCTAAATTCTTTGACAAGTAATAAATAAATAAAATGCAAGAAAAATATATAATTTAGTTAATTTAAGTGAATTTCATAAATGATCGGTTTACTACACGTATGTATATTATATAGTCACTTACTAGCGAAAAGTTGTTCCATTATTTCACTCGATTTTTGCCGAGATCTACTGCACGCTACACAACCAACTATTTTAGAGTCTTTTTCAATAAATCGCGATAGTGTCACTGTTAATTTAAGTTCTGCCACAATTTCCATCTAGATTTACTACCTTTATACAACTATCAGTAGTAGAATAAATAATAAATAACATAAAATAAGCTCCGTAAAGACTGACAAATCCACAAAATTTCAAATCAAATTCAAATGTGTCAAATGAATCGTCAAACAGAACCGTCAAGGATCCCCAGCCTAGAGTGCTTTTTCCGCCCACCATGCATGAATACATGGATATCATTATGCTCCTTCCTTAGTCTTCTTATTCAAAGGTTGAAACAAATGTTGGTGGCGCCCTCTATAAACAGGAGTCATATTGACACCAAAATCATATTTCTCATGTCAAAAAACTCCCACACACCAATTTTCATCCAAATATCGATATTAGTTCAGAAATTATTTGGAAAAAATCGGAATAAAACTGAAAGTTCCACACCCTGTATCTCCGAAACTATAAGCATTTCAGGACATATATTTATACGAACTTTTTTACTTATTTTTATCTGCAGAATATGCTGCCGAAGTTTCCGGAATACAGTCCCGACCACCCTGTATATCTTGATTTCTTATACATACCATCGGGATCGACTACTGAATAGCTTCCTTGCACAACATCTCCGTTTCTAGTTTCGCTCTGAGTTTTGCTGTCTCCGGTGAGCCCATCCTGGACGTCGTATCCGTAACTGTATTGGGGATTGGGGTCGTAGTCCTCACCTGGAGCGGCTACCACTGCTTTAGCTACAGGGGCGGCATAAGCTAAGGGAGCTGGGCCGGCAGCGTACGCTACTGGAGCGGGCCCGGGAACGAATCCGGCATTGGCGTACGAGCAAACAGCCACAAAAACGATAAACTGAAAAAAAAATAACAAAGATTATTAATAATAAGATTAAAGTAATAATTTTGATGCATAGAAGACGTGTATTAAGTTTCATAAAGATATATATAATAAAATCAGAGTTATTGTGAAAAAAAAATTTAGAAAAATTTACCACCGGTAAATAATTACATTCAATTCCTGTATCTCAGAAATTAAGATGTTTTTAGGAAATACATTCATATGAAGTTTTTCTCTTAGCATAGGACCAAGAATCATCCCCTTAAATATTAGCAAGTCATTAAGGAACACCCTGTAAAATTGCGCTTTCTTTTTATAGTTTCCATAGGCATTTACATGTTTTGTCATCATATATATTGATATTTTTTCGATTAATTACTCGGCAATAAAGCTAATACACTATACGATTTGTTTTTCTTGTATTCTGTGGTAATTATGGGGAGAAAAATTTAAATTTTATGAAAATCTCTAATAACATATCCAATGAATTTGTATATGTGTATATTTTTTTTATTTCAAAAAACACGAGGTTTAGTCGTGACTGACTAAGTTAAGAAAAAACTATTAAATTTAGTGAGGTTAATATAGGTTTACATAAGCTAATAAATACTATACCGGGTGTTGCATCGTCGGACGGGACATAGAAAATCCCATGTAAATTTTAATGGGGTCAATTATTGGCTTTCCTAATTATTTTAGAGAATAATTCTATTTAGGTTTATTGAAGAGCACTAAAACCCACATTCAAAAGAATAACTTTAGATATTTTTGATTAGCTCGTTTACGAGTTATCGCCGATTTCTTTTTAAATATTTCTCCTTTCTTATGGCCCTATGTTTACTTATGAGCACCAGTCCAAGGTAAAAAGATAACTGTCAAATGAAGTTTACCATTTCAGAAATTTACCTATTTAGTGCTTTATTATTATTGAAAACTCATTCCTACATCGGAAATCTTAAAGATGTATTTATAAATACAAATTAATATGAATTAAGTAAAATAAAGTAATCAATTACAAGGTTAATTTTAGTATTATTACAATATTCAATAACTTATTAATTTAGGTACTATTAAATGACAACTATAATTAATTAATTTACCTTAATCCAATTCTAATAGTACTCATTCAAAAGTTTCTATAAAAAGGGGTACGGGAATGCATAGTTTTCAAATTCAAGTTACAGAATGTTAGAACTTTTAAAAAATATGTCTTTTGTAATTATCTTAAATGCCATTACCTTTTTGGTAAATTTGCTGTAGGTAGCACTGTGTACGTCAGAGTTATAAAAAACAAAAATAATAAAAAAAATAAAAAAAGTTTAACATAAAAAAAATAAGAAAAAAAAAATTTAACAAAATATAATAATAAACTGAATTAAATATATTATTTATTAATTTTATTTTTATTTTATATAATATAACTTAACTATACTTGTAAACTTGTTTATTTTCGATTTTTCGAAAAAAAATCATTCTTCGTATCTATTTTTCCTTGTTATTTAAGTATGATTGAAGTTGCGAAATATAAATTTTAATATACAGGGAGCTTAAAAAATGTAAAATTGTTAATTAAGTTGTTAAAGAATTTAAAATTCTCGATCAGACTTTTTTGAAACATTAAAGTGAAAGAGGCATTGAAAAACAATTTGAAATGCCAAATAATTGTAATTAATTAAATTAAATGTACCTTCCTGTATTAAGTTTAATTAATAATTAAGTAAACATTTAATTAAAAAATCCCCTTTAATAAGTGTATTTTTAATATCAAATATCTTAGTTACTAAAACTCGCATAAAAAAATTATTTGCCATTTCAAATTGTTTTTCAATGCTCTTTCACTTTAATGTTTCAAACGAGAATTTTAAATTTTCATATCTCCAATTTTACATTTTTTAAGCACCCTGTATATTAAAATTTATATTTCGCAACTTCAATCATATTTAAATAAAAAGAAAAAAAATTACGAAGAATGACTTTTTTCGAAAAATCGAAAATAAACAAGTTTACAAGTATAGTTGAGACTTTCAGACAATCCGTGGACACACTGTATTTTTGATTAAGATATGTGCGTTATTGGCATTATTAGATGGCCTTCACAATTTTTCTAACAAGAGGAAAAAAAGTCAGTGGCGTACATGTTTTTTGAGACAAATATTCCAGTGAAAACCCATATAACATTAAAATATGTAACACTTATAGTAACTTTTACCCTCAAAATTTCATTCGAATCGCGAAAAGCATTTAAAAGAAAATGATAATAAATCGAAAAAAAAAATGAAATTTTTACCCCCCTGTAGCTACGAAACAAAGTAGAATCGGGCCTATGTTAATATGAAAAATAAATCTTATTTTTTCTTTCTTAAGTAACGAGGAATCTTCCCACAAGAGATGGCACACTAAACGTGATCACGTCTCTAAAAAACTAATACACAATGATTAAACTTACTTTAAAAGCCATGTCTGTTTTAATGCTGAGTCTTATGATAACACTGTAGAAGACAAACTGATGTTGTGGTGATCCTGACCGCGTTTTAATTCTTTATATACGAAAAAAAGTGGAGCGTGTATGAAGTTGCGAATCTGGACCGGCTCGACCGGACCAGAAGCCTTTTAATGGGTGGGCTATCAAAATTACTCTTTACGAATCCCGCGTTACGCCAAAACGATTACGCAACTCATAATAAAGGTGCGGATCTCAAATGGTCGATATTTTAATATGTTAATATATTCATGGCGAGCAGCTTTAATTGTAACAGCCAGTGTGCCATATATTAAATATATTTCGGTTTCTAATATGAATCAGCGACGTGATGACGGGTCTTCAGGCTGATAATTATCGGATTATAGCCACAGAAACAGATTTTGGCCCTATTTAAGAAAAAAACTTCTTCTTGCACAGAATCCCGCTGCAGAATTATTACGCTCATCGTATTATTAATTAAACCCTAACAATGGAGTGCCCAGAGACTTTTACCTGGGAATTCAATTACTGTGAATGTATTAATGTGGAACCTTCTGTATTGTGTTTTATAGATAAAATACTAAAATGTTTATCCATTTTTTTCCGTTGCTTTTAATTTTTTATTTTAGTAATTTTAGTAAATTTTTAATTATTTCCTTCTTAAATTTTTGATGGGTAAACTTTGTAATATATCTTATTAACAATACAATGCAAAAAGTTTTATAAAAATTCGTTCACTGTAAATGAATTACGAGGTTTGTATCCGAGGGGCTTAAATGACTCCACTAAATTTTTACTTATATTTCTGAATAGGAGAATAACACTTTTAACTTTTAACAGGGTGCCTATCAAAAAGTTGCCGCAACTGTCATAATAATAACTGATTTTGGAGACGACCTTTGAATAAGAAGACTAAAGAAGGAGCATAATGCTATCCATGTATTCATGCATGGTGGGCGGAAAAGGCACCATAAAAGCTCTCTAGGGTGGGGATCCTTGACAGTTCTGTTTGACGATTCATTTGACACATTTGAATTTGATTTGAAATTTTGTGGATTTGTCGGTCTTTACGGAGCTGATTTTATGTTATTTATTATTTATTCTACTACTGATAGTTGTATAAAGGTAGTAAATCTAGATGAAATTGTGGCAGAACTTAAATTAACAGTGACACTATCGCGATTTATCGAAAAAAAAGACTCTAAAATAATAGTTGGTTGTGTAGCGAGCATTAGATCTCGCTTAAAAATTGAGTGAAATAATGGAACAACTATTAGTGACTATATAATATACATACGTAGTAAACCGATCATTTATGAAATTCATAGAATTAACTAAATTATATATTTTCTTGCATTTAGCTTTTATTTATTACTTGTCAAGATTAGATGTCAAAAGAATTTAGATACGTTAATTTGACTTACCTGCTTCCAGTAGCGTATTGGATGTTTGTGTTAATAAATACTTATTATAACTTATCTAATACATTAAATTATATATTTTATAACAATTTTAAGCCTTCACCAACATTTATTCTAACGTAAATAAAACAACAAATTATTGAGTCTACCCCACGTCTACCCTACATCATAGTTTTACATTTTTTAAATAAAATTAGAACGACACTGATAAACCGGAATTTAAGTCGGCCATATTTGAGGCCCATCGCGGTGTACCTAAGATTTTTGATATGCTCCTTCCTTAGTCTTCTTATTCAAAGGAGACGACATTACGCTCATAAATGTTTTTGATCATTTATATATCAAATTAAAGCTATTTTTATTCTGTGCCTGATATTATAAGGACGCCTAAATTAATAATAATTTTAAATTGTGCACATTGCCCAAAAGAACCAATGAAATTTGTACAAAATTCAAACAGCTGTCAATTTTAAATTTAGTACAGCTCTGATTGGTTTTTGAAATGTCAAACTGTGTCGCCAGCGACACAACGTCGCATCGTTCTGAGAACGGGGCTTGAAATAGATAGCCAAATGTCTTTTCTTTATGTCACAGGGGCTGTGATAATCACTAAATTTTTGATTTTTAGGCTGTACAATTTTTTTTGACAGGCAGTTTTTTTCGTCCAAAAATTGTAAATATTTTTTTCTTAAAAATGCTTCCAGGGAAATACCGCGACAAAATATCGCGATTTTGTCCTCCAAGTCATCAATAATGAAGCTAGAATACAAGTTATGCTGTTATTGGTTGTAATTTAAAATGTTTATTCAGTAAAAATAAATAATGAAACCATTGAAAAATAACTTAAAAGCTAAAATAAATAAATTCAGTCTAAAAATATATAAAAAATAATAATTACTCGATATTTTAAACAAAGAAAATTACCTCTTGATTTAGTTTCCTAAATAGAAAATGCCATTGACAATTAATTACTGGGGCCTGATAATTGATAATTAGTAAATATCTGCTTTCATTTATACTGTTTATAGTTGGCGTATACGTATGGTTTGCATACTCCACCTACAAACTGTTTATAACTACTGAACACATATCGGCCTTGTTTGCTAGTTGAATAAAAAATTACTTATTAAGATTCGGAGGCCCCCTAAAAGACGGGGCCCGGGGCGGACCGCCCCTTCCGCCCCCCCCCCCTTAATCCGCCACTGAATAACTGACAATGGTTTCCGTTTAAATTCTACGGAGTGGCATTTTACAAAAAAAAATATTTTTTAATTTTTTTAGATTTCTGTTTCAGTGACGAAATGTCTATATAGGTACCCAAGATTTTTTTAAAGAAATGAACCCGCCACAACCACAAAAGGTATAGGTAGACATATTATTTATGGCGAATATTTTGCGACCCCCCTCTGTAACTACATTAATTTAAAAAGTAATTTATCATCGAGAAACTAATAATTTTAGTTAAATTCCTGATCGACCTGCAAAAAGTTCGCGTGCGCTCCGATTCATTCATTGCTCCATTATATCTTTTGCGTCTGTGTTGAAAATGCCGAGCAGACCGTCCTCAATAATAAATTTCCTTTATTTCCCGCTAGTGAATTTAGTTTACTAGAAGAAAATCAATCAACTACCAGCCAACG